CTTATCAGTAAAGATAATGGTAAATATCAATCTACTTCCAAGGCCAGTCACATGAACTTAAAACTTTGAGAAGAAGATGTGAAAATCCCTTTGCAGAGCAGTGTAAGGACACTCAGATCACTCCAATGCCCACTAGTGTGTGTGCATGTGTGTTGTGTGTCTTTGTGTGTCACTAAGTGCTTCTCAAAGTAGACACTAAACCCCCTCGTCTACTATTTGAACAGGAAGAGATCTCTGTGTTAAAGCAGTGTCATTCTAAAGCTGCTAAAAGTGTAGGACTCTAGAAATCATTCTGTGTCTATGCCAGACTGCCAGAAAGATGCAGTCACTGTGTTAAATTGGGGAGAGGGAATAGGCTAGATCAGTAGCTCTCAACCTTTCCAGGCTACGGTTCCCCTTTCAGGAGTCTGATTTGTCTTGCATATCCCAAATTTCACCTCACTTACAAACTACTTGCTTACAAAATCAGACACAAAAATACAAAAGTGTCACAGCACACTATTACTGACAAATTGCTGACTTTCTCATTTTTACCATATAATTATAAAATAAATCAATTGGAATATAAATATTGTACTTACGTTTCAGTGGATAGTATATAGAGCAGTATAAACAAGTCATTGTCTGTATGAAATTTTAGTTTGTACTGACTTCGCTAGTGCTTTTTATGTAGCCTGTTGTAAAACTAGGCAAATATCTAGGTGAGGTGATGTACCCCCTGGAAGACCTCTGCATACCCCAAGGGGTACATCTACCCCTGGTTGAGATAAACAAAACCTTCATGTGATTTCTGTGACTAGTGAGCTTAATGGGACAAAGAAGCCAGGGGAGGGAGTTACCAGGAAATCATTTTCAGAGCTGTGATCCCCAAAGCTAAGGCAAGGAATAGCATCTGCCTTTAACAAGACTCGTAGCTAAATAGCTTAAATCAAAGGGAAATGCTTCTCCCCTTAGCCTTCCTGTAAGACCTTAAGAGAATTGGTTTTCTTAACTTGTTCATTATAATTTGATTTAGTTACTAATTGTAGTAATTGGTGAGACGGATAAATTGAACCATTGACTTATTGATTGTATTTTAATTAAACCTTAATTTGACTGCTGCATTGTACCATTGTAAATTAGGTTAGGAAAACTGTTAGTGACCTATTTCGCTTGTTCTAGAACTGCTTACTTATTCTTTTTAATAAATTTATAAAAGATGCCCTGAACTGGTTTCTCTTTCAAAACTTCAACACAGACAACGTGACCTACATAGAAGATAACAGCAAAATCATTAAAAATCATTCTTGAGCCCATCCTATATTTTAATTACTTACAAAACACCCTATTATCTCACTCATTGTATTCGTGGAGTTTCCTTTGAATTCTTGCTTTAGGGGCATGAGTGATTTCCCCCTGAAGATCAGGCAAGGAGTTCTGACCCACAGATACCTCTGAGACAGGGTCAGCATAAACCTACCTGCTAAAGTCCCAGGGGTTTGGAGGTGCAGGGGGACAAAACCAGAGAATGTGTCCATCACCCCTGTCTCACTCCTCCAGTGTTCCCCCTCCTCAGCTTCAGAAGGGCTTCAGGGGAGCTGGAGAAAGGGGAAACTATGCCTAAAGAGGGTCAAAAGATGAGAGGAAAGTGGACAGGGCCCTGGCCTGGGAATCAGGGGCTCTGGGTTCTATTTCCAGCCCTGCCAGCGACCTTGGGAAAGACAATTTGAACCTCTGTGCCTCTTTCCCCATCAGTAAAGCAGGGCTAATAATACTTATCTCCCTCTGTAAAGCACTTTGAGATCCCTGGCTAGAAAATGCTACATAACTACCAAGTATTATTTTTATTTTCATGAGAAATATGAGCAAGAAATAGCAATTGAATGTGTCCTGATAAATGTAAAATAATCGATGTGGGGGAATTAGAGTCTGAAACTAGAAACAGCTGGTATGAAATTAGGAATAGCATAATGTAGGTGCATGTCAAAAATATATAATAGCAATGGCTTTTGGAAGGATGGTCTTTTGGTTAAAGAATTGGGGTAAGATCTGGGTTCAAGACCTAGCTTTGCCATAGACTTCCTTTATAAATGTGGGCAAGTCGCTTAAACTCTCTGCTTCTCTTCACCATCTGTAAAATGGGGATAACAATATTGCCTCCCGCCTCTACCCACCTTTGCTTGAGACTGTAAGCAATGACTCTCTCTTACTACGTGTTCAGACAGCGCCTGTTCAATGGAACCCTGATCTCACCTGGAGCATAGAGGCAGTACCAGAATGCAAATAAATAATAATAATGAAGCGTATTAACATGTGGAACCATTTCCGAAGGGCAATGATGGAAGCCTCATTGTTTGCATCATTTAAAAGTAGAGAGGGTCAAACACTTGATTCTGTATGAAACAGTCTTGCATTGTCCAGGAGGAGATGGACAAGATGCCTTGAAAGGTGTTCACCATCTCTAATTTCCATGATTCCATCTGAAGGAGCTCTCTATATTTTGATGACATATGGACTGGGATATCTTACAGTACATTAATGTAACAAATAGCCATTATCTTCCATTTTATGGAAGATACTGTAGGGCATGATTTATTTGTGCCTGTTGTGTTTCTTCCTTCAAAATACTACCTTTCACTGAAAGATGGCTATCCAAAAGTTTCCAGTAACCTTGCAGTGCATGCTGCATAGTAAATCAATGGAATCTGAATTATAATACATTGTCTTCGGTAGCTGTTTTAGGCTGTGCTGCTGGAGTGTCCTGCTGTGACAGAAAACATTTTCATATCAACACAGCATATATATTATCATGTATGACATTTGTCCCTAAATTTTTTAAGTGGTGCAAGAAAGATTTTAAGTGTGCTGGCCCATCTGATGTTAATGGGATCTGCATTGCTAACTCCTTAACTATCACTTTGGAAACGTACCCAATGTGGTTGTTTGTGAATGCTGAGTATCATCCTCCTCAAAAAAGTAAAAATAAAATAGCATTAAACACCTGATCTGAAATGATACAAACAAGGATATTCAGAGTCAAGACTGAAACAGCTGCCTTATCTTGCTCCTTTGTGTCCTGCCATACCTGCTCATGTGACATTTGTAAGGATGGCCGTGGGTGATTTTAGAAGCTGGCATGTGATTGCAATTTGAGTCCCTGCCACATGGCCATGCCCTGTTAGAAGGTTCTCTGCTGCAGGACAACGTCCTCTGCATACCACAGGCACAAGAAGGTCTGTGACTGAGTTTCAGCCTTATCTCTGAATTCCTGATATTTATTGAATGTAGGAGCAGCCATCCTGGAACACACCTTTGGTTCAGAAAGTCTGCTCTCTTGCTTCATTGGTTGATTGATTTTTATAGGGGACAGAATGAACTGTTACACTCACCTCGTCGGACCTCCTGCATAGAACAGGCCATAGAATCTCACTCCGTGATTCCTATGTGTGGTCCAATTGCTGCTGGAACTGGCTTCTATTAGATGCTTTAGAACAGTGGTGGGCAACCTCTGGCCTGCGGGCTGCATGTTGCCCATCAGGGCAAGCTACTGGCAGGCCGCTAGACTGTTTGTTTACATTTGCGTGACAGCTCCTAGTGGCCACGGTTCGCTGTTCCCGGCCAATAGGAGCTGTGGGAAGTGGTGAACCGCGGCCACTGGAAGCAGCAGGTGGCCATGCACATATAAACAAATGGTCTGGCGGCCAGCCAGCGGCTTGCCCTGACGGGCAACATGCAGCCCGCAGGCCAGAGGTTGCCCACCACTGCCTTAGAAGCTGAAAATCCCCCATAATGTACCTGGCCATTTGCTGCCGCATAGGTGGGTGGGAAGGAGTAGCTTCCTGAGCTAAGCTATTGATCAGTTCATGCTCTGAAGCATCCTGATAATAGTTATATAACTTGTGGTTCTGACTGCTATAATTCTAACTTGTCTTGTGTCTGAGTTGCTTTAGATGTTTATATTTGTTTTAGATATGATAGGAACAAAATTAAAAATCTCTCATTCAAGTTTATAAATGTGTAGGCACTTTTTAAAAAGTGTTATTTGGTACCTGGCAGAAATTTAGAGTCTTCTTGATGAACTAGATTATTAATGCTGGTACCTTTTCAAATCCACCCTTCTAATGCATCCTTAGTCTGCATTTAGGACTGTAACCATTTCCCAGTGAAGTCAATGGGAGTTTGCCATTGTGCAGGAACAGGGTTCTTTGGAATAACCCACTGCTAGAGATCTTTCAGAAGTCTTTGATGCTAAGAATGGAAGCATATGAGCTTGGCAAGATGACTGTATATGAAATAAATCAGTTTTCAATACATGGGACCTGATTCTGATCACACTTACACCAGTTTTACAGTAGTGTGACTCCACTGACGACCTGATTTACACTGGAATAAGAGACCAGAATAAGGCCCATACTTTCAAAACACAAACAGGGACTCTCCAACATTATGGACTAAAGTAGCGATTCTGATTTGGGTTACACTGATGTAAATAAATTCACAGATTCTGATCTCAATTACACCAGTGTAAACCTAGAGTAATTGTACTAAGCTCACTGGAGTCACTCCAGATGTACATCTGGGTAATTGAGATCAGAATCAGGACCTAATTTTCTGTAAACATTTCTATTTATTTTTTTAAGAGCAATGTCACAGTGGCAGGACATCACAAATTTTGTTGTTGCTGGTTGTTTTAAATCTGGAAAAGCTATCATCAGCTTCTGTGAGTGAGGAGCTTGCATGTTACATTTTAGTCCTCAAATATCTGAGTCTCTGATGAATATTCTGGCAGCCCCTTAACTGCAACATGGAATGGCAAATGGGTCTACTATGATTAAATAACACAGAGTCGTTGCACAGAGCAAGGGCCTGACCCAAAGCCCAAGGAAGCGAATGGAGAGCCTCCTATTGACTTCAATGGGCTTTGATCTGGCCTTCAGTGTGTATATTTATAAAACCCAGAAAAAAATTATGTCCCTTTAACTCTTAATAACCACATGCTTCTCTTTCACTTTTCTCTTCAGGATGGAAGGAGCAGTTTTATTGGACACCAGCTTGGAGGGGTCATGGAGGTGCCAAACAGCAAGGACCAGCGCGTGAAGTCAGCCAGAGCCATCCAGATCACCTACTACCTCCAAACCTATGGCTCTGTTGCCCAGGGCCTCATTGGTGAAAAATGGGAGAGTGAATTCTGTAAACTGATGCGCAAGCTGCAGCTGGATCACCAAGATCTGCAGCTCTACTCGCTGGCATCCTTTAGTCTTTGGAAGGACTTCCACAAGACCAGCCTCCTGGCCAAGGGCAAGATCTTAGTGAGCCTGATGCTCATTCTACTGATTGCTATGCTCTCGAGCTCCATGAAGGACTGCCTGCGAGGCAAACCTTTCCTGGGATTATTGGGAGTATTTACAATCTGCATCTCCAGCGTCACTGCGGCAGGGATATTTTTCATTACTGATGGAAAATATAACTCTACACTGCTGGGAATCCCCTTCTTCGCAATGGGTAATTCTTTATCTTCATAATAATGAGATTAACGCAATTTAATGACGGGATTGTAAATTACATCCCAGGGTATAAAGTGCAGATTTTACCTTCAGTGAAAGTCCAGGTCCTTTTCATTTTGTTAAACTGACCCATCCCTTACCAAAACAATTAAAAATTAAATGAAAATCCCAAACAAAACAAAGTAACAGACAAAAAAAAAAAAAAAGAGTGAATGACTTTGTTGGAACCTCACCCAATAGGAGAGCAGCAGTTGTATGAATCCCTGTTACAAAACAAAGGGGGAACGTGTTATTGAAAACCAGTCAGCTCAGCATAGAAAATGGATATTTGTTAACGTGTCTTTGATGGAGGGCCAGTGGGAAGAGTAAGGAGCGACTGCAGGGAGTGGCAAAGAAAATAATATGTAGCATCCTCTTTGGTGAGGCTTTCTCTTTCATTTGTGTGGGAGGTGGAGGAATGGTTTGGTTCATGAATGAAATTGAGAGAGAGGTGATTACAGCCCTCGTGTCTGCCTGGCTGTAAGCACAGGGCCTGTCTCTGTCTGTAGAACATAATCCCCCGGCTTGTGAAATTTAGAGACCATCTGCAATGATTTGCTTGGGACACACCATGAGGCAGAAGTTTCAGCTAAAGAGCAAATGTCTGGACCCATTTTTGAAGGAAATTGTTTGTTTTAGCGCAGTATTTTAAGCATATCTCAATTGCATTCGTTTAACAATTCGATTGCAAGATTCCAGGCTAGGGAAGTTAGCCAGGCTGAAGAGGAAGATAAAGCAGTATCCACAGAGATGGTGCCACCTTATTTCTCTGTGCAGTCAACAAGAAGAAACATTGTCATCTCACCGCACAGTGTATTTGAACATTTGTGTTTCCCCTCATCCTAGATCTCAGTGGCCAACTTCAAAGGCTCCATGCTGCCTTTTGTATCTGAAGGAAATCTTACCTGTGGGCAGAATGTTCTGTTCCATTCTCTTCCAGTTCATTTCTTAACTGTGCCCATTCTGATGGTGTCTGAGCACCCAATGCTCCTCTGGGCGAAAGTCCATGTGTGGACACATCACAGACTAGAGGGACCCAGTGGGAGGGGAAGCTATGCGTTTCTTCCTGGCCGCCCAACTGCTGTGCAGTGTGGGTGTAGCCCTGCATTATAGGGGCAAAGTTCTTCCCCTGTCGTCTTCCTGTAGGAGGGGGACAGCAGAAGGTGCTGAAAGATGGGAAAGAGGGATCCAAAGGGAATTGGGGAGTGTCAGGCACTCTGGTGGTGCTGAAATGGAGAGGATCAGGAGAGTGACTTAGAGGTATGTGTGAGAGAGGGGGGACAGAATCAAGGCTGCTTGACAGGGGAATTGGAGTAGACTTTTGGGTGGAGAGAGTGTAGAATAGGGAGCAGGGTGGGGAGCCAGGAGTGGACCAACACAGAAGGGGATCATAACACAAGTGGTGGCACATGCGGAATTTGAGTTGCTTGGTAGCTCTCTGGATCTAAAACCAAGAGACTGCTTGAGTTTTAGGCAGGCTTATAAATTGCTTTACATGATGCAGCCACAAGGGGGACAGAGTCTACCACTGGAGTGAAATTGTGTTACAAAATGGATTTGGGTGCCTTAGTTTACCATTTGGGGTGGAAGACAGAACTCTGTTAGTTTGCTAGCCAGAGATTAAATGTAATTTTATGTTTATTTGCAGTGTTCTAGAGCTCACTTCTACCAGAAAAAGGCTCTTTATGAAATTGCAAGGAAATATTCCATAGGATTACATTGTACTTGCTTTGGGTTTGGAGGAACTAAATAAATAACCTTTTTATATATATTTCATCCAATAATTTCCAACTGATTTGTAGACATGATTAGATGAATGCTCACATGTCCCCGAGAGCTATAGTTGGTAAGTTTTATTTTTTCCAGAGGAATAAACTGAAAGACAAGAATTGTGACTTACCCAAGGTCACATGGAGGCCTGCTCCTGCAGTCAGGTGCCCTCTACTCCCATTAATGACAGTGCCAGTTGATGATACAAAACACTTGTCATCAGGTACCCAGGACCACGCAGGATTGGGCACATAATAAACCAATAGCAGAGCTTTGAACAGAACCCAGCAATTCCAGTTCACAGTCCTGAGCTCTAACCATTTAGATGGTCTCTTAGGTAGAACAGTGTCCCAAATTGTGGTTCCACAGCGCTCTATGCCTGTACAGAGCATTAGACCTGCCTGTGCTTTGGCTGTTCAGGATGCTCATGTTCTCACTCCTAGCAGCTCTTACTGTCACTTTTGCCTCCCCACGCCCTCCTCCTTTTCTGTTGTTGTCAGCATTCACCTATTAAGATCCAGATCTGAAGCCCATTGGTATGGAAAGTCTCCCATTGATTTCAGTGGGTTTGGGTCAAGCACTTAGACTGTAAATTCCTCGGGAGAGGGACGGTCATCTATTATATTGTTTGAACAGCACCCAGCATAATAGGATCTTGCTCCAGATCAGAGCCTTTGGGTGCTACCATAATACAACTGAATAATACAGACAAACAACTACATTAAAAGAATGTTATTCAGGTTGCAAAGTCAAGGATTTGAGAATTCAGGAATACTGGATTTATGGTTCCCAGTCCAACTTTAATTTGCCCTCTTTACACATCTACCTTGTGCACTGAATGAGGCCGGGGTCCCGTATGTTGATATATATTTTTAAAAGCATGTGAGCATGTAATTAATCACTGTCTCATAATGCATATGCACAAAGGGGCTGAATGAAAGGTTGCATGGCATTTCTTAACGTTTAAGGGTTTCACTATGTCAGATGATACTCTCTGAACAGATTTTTTAAATGTAATTTACTAAGATGTTTTTAAAGGAAAAAGGTACAAACAAATTATATTATGTAGAGCTGTGATTGGACTCCATACTGCACCATCAGCAAGGTTTCAGCCCTGACCCTGCAGAGCAGACCACCACTTGAGCTGCAGGACTAACAACATTATCGGTTAGCAGGAATGGTTGTTATCCTGGAGGGGGGAATGCGCCATTGAGGCCACATGTAGTGTCCAAGTGATGGGAGTGGAGGTTCTGGCCCAGCCTGGCTCTCTTTTTCACTCCCCCTGGAGTGGACAGCTCCTGCCCCAAGAGAAGACATCAGGGGAGGAAATTGGGACGTTGGGGCCATATGACAGATCTGATGGAAGAAGCCCAGTGCAGCCTGACTCTTCCCCACACCACTTCCTGCCACTACAGTGGCTCTGGCAGCCAGGGCTGGCCTTACCATGAGGCGAACTGAGGCGGCCGCCTCAGGTGCCAGACTGTGGGGGGGCGCCACTAGGACCCAGAGTGTAGAAAATTGTGTCTGCTGCTGCTGCATATGTATTCTCTCTGCTCTAGATGCACAGAGATGGTGGAGTGCTGGAGGAAGGAGGGCACAAGAGACGTAACAGGCAGGCAGGAGCAAAGGTGAGAGGGAATAACAGAAAGCAGCAGGAGCTGCAGGGAGAGAGAGGAGGAGGATCGTCTTATGTACCTCTCTAGCACCCCCCAGGAGCCTGGACTGATTAACACCAGCTTCTCAGGGAGCTTCCTGTTTCCTGCTGCTTCCCTGAATCCACTTGAGGAGAACAGGCAGTCAACTGAAGTAGTAGGAGCCAGTTAGGCCCTTAAGACACTGATATCTTCCCTCACTCAGGCCCTGCTACCAGCCTGCTTATTTGTCCCCTTCAATTGAGTGTTGAGAGCCACTATAGCTGCCACAGAATAGCAATCATGAATGAAAGAAGAAAACGCCTCTCTGGGGCAGCATTCAGAAAAAGAAAGAAAGCAAAGGAAGCTTTTCTATCTAAGCAGGAAGGAGCTCTCCTGAGATACATAGACACAAATGTTCACGGTGAGCCTTCTGGCCCCAGTGAGGATGTGAGTGGTGAGGAGATGCCTGATCTTCCAGTTAGTCAGAGTGCAGGTGACCTGGCAGCTACTGCAGCATCCATATCTCCATCTCAAATGGATGTAACCATGCACATTCCTGAAGAAAAGTGTAGATCAGAGAAGAGTGTGGTGGAGGCACAAGAAATAGCTGCTGCTGAGTTTAGTTCCTTAAGTCTAGATGATCCAGGACTGTGGACCCACTTGAGCAGTAGCCTAAGGGATTTCCTTGTACTGCGTGGGCCACAGCAAGTGAAAAACGTCATGTTCCCCAAAGACAATGAAAATAGAAGTTTCCACCCAACACATTACTGGCGTGAAATCCCCAATGGTGACAAAGTGGAGAGGCCATGGCTTATGTACTCAAAAACCCAGAATGCTGCATACTGTTTTTGTTGCAAACTCTTCCAGTCTTATGTTCCAGCCACATTGGGTTCTACAGGAACAAAGGACTGGAAGAATCTGGCTCGAAATCTGGCATGCCATGAGAAGGCAGCAAATCACCGGAGAGCATTCCATAGGTGGAAAGAGCTTGAGATGAGACTAAGGTTAAAGGTCACCATAGATGATCAGCATCAAGAGAAGATTGCATCAGAGTCTCTTTACTGGCAAAATGTTCTGAAGAGGCTCATTGCCATTGTGAGAATGCTTGCTACCCAAAACCTAGCACTGCGTGGCACTTCCGATCAGCTGTATGTGCCAAACAATGGAAACTTCCTTAAAATTGTGGAGCTGATGGCTGAGTTTGATGCTGTACTCCAGGAGCATCTAAGAAGAGTCACCACCCAAGAAATGTACACACACCACTACCTTGGAAAAACTATTCAAAATGAGATCATACAGTTACTGGCAACAAAAGTCAAACAGAAGATTGTGGCAGATCTGAAGTCAGCAAGATATTACTCTGTTATTCTGGACTGCACACCTGACATCAGCCATATGGAACAAATGTCTTTAATGGTGCATTTTGTAACAACAACAGAACCTAGTGAAATGTCCCTGCAATGGTGACTGTCAGACAGCATTTTCTAGACTGTATTGACATTGATGATACTACAGGAGCTGGTATGACAAATGTGCTTCTTAAAAAGCTGGAAGA